GTGGGTGTGATACCAGCCCGCCGTGCCTTCGCCCCTCCTACCAGTCTGGATGCAGTTGCTTCTTTAATTTTGTAGTTGTAGGATTTCCATTCAGCTTGATTTCAGGTGGTTTTGAATGATGGTTGTTCTGTAGTTTAGTTGTAACTTTGATGTGGTTGTGGGAGGATGCAATACTGCATTTACCTACGCCGCCATCTTGACCGAAAGTTCTGTATATATGTGTTTTTTGTTTTTTTTCCTTCTATTTCTTCTTTTGCTTCTAGAGTCCCTTTAACATTTTTTGTAATACTGGTTTAGTGGTGAAAAACTCCTTTAGCTTTTTTGAGGGGCTGGGAATCTCTTTCTATTTTCTTCAGTTTTAAATGATAGCATTGCTGGGTAAAGTAGTCTTAGATGTAGGTCCTTGTTTTTTTTATCACTTTGAGTATTTCATGCCAATCTCTTCTGACCTGCAAAGTTTTTGTTGAGAAATCAGCTGAAAGTCTTATGGGAGATCCCATATAGTTAACTAACTGCTTTTCTTTTGCTGCTTTTAAGATTCTTTCCTTGTCTTTAAATTTTGCCATTTTAAGTATGATGTTTGTTGGTGTGAGCCTCTTTAGTTTCATCTTGTTTGGGACTCTCTTTGCTTCCTGGACTTGTATGTCTATTTCCTTCACCAGGTTAGAGATGTTTTTAGTTATTATTTCTTCATATAGGTACTTAATACCTTGTTCTGTCTCTTCTTCTTCCAGTAACTCTATGATATGAATGTTATTTTGCTTGACGTTGTCTCAGAGGTTCCTTAAACTATCCTAATTTTAAATCAGTCTTTCTTTCTTTCTTTCTTTCTTTCTTTCTTTCTTTCTTTCTTTCTTTCTTTCTTTCTTTCTTTCTTCTTTCTTTCATATTCTGATTGGGTGTTTTCTGCTACCTTGTCTTCCAAATTGCTGGTTTAATTTGCTGCTTTATCTCTTCTGCTGTTGATTCTTCTAGTGTATTCTTCATTTCAGTTAGTGTATTCTTCACTTCACACTAGTTATTTTTATAGTTTCTATGGCCTTTTTTATAATACTGGATCTATGTTGATGTTTTTATGGAGTTCATCAATTTTTTCCTTTAGTCCACCCAGCATCCTTATAACTAGCATTTTGAACTCTGAATCTAGTAAATTATTTGCCTCCATTTTATTTAGTTATTTCTTTGGAGTTTTCTCCTGTTCTTTCATTGATATGTTTCTTTGTGTCTTCATTTTAGCTGCCACCCTGTGTTTGTTTCTTTGTTTTTAAGTAGATTTCTACATTTCACAGTCTTGGCACGGTAGCCTTAGGTAAAAGGTGACCCTAGGGCTCAATGCTACATTCTCCTTAATCATCTAAGCCAGGCACATTAGGAGTGTCCCATGTGTGGATTGTATTTGCCCTTCTGTTGTAGTTGAGCCTTGACTGTTGTTGGCACATCAAGTTGACTGGCTATAAGGATTGACCTTGACTACAATATACAAGCTACTGTGCAGAAGCTGACTCCACATGGTGGGATTTGCCCCAGTGAGCTTGGATGCCTTCTGAGACTACTGTTTTGGTATGCCACTTGTGTGGTAATAGTCTGTTCTGGTCTGAAGCTGGCCACCAGGTCTCTTGGTTAGGGGGTCTTTTTAAAGGGGCTCCAGTGCATATCAAGGTTAGTTTCTGACTGTGATTGGCATAGGGCCATGGGTAGGAACTACAAATTAATTGGCAGTTGGTAGCTGCCTGTGCTGAGCCTGGAGATATGTGGGAGAAGCCACACTGCAAACCAAGGCTAGCTACCATGAATACCAGGCCTGGGACTACTCAGAAAAAGGTACCAGGCACCCAGAGGCCTGCCACAACCTGACAGTGTTTTGTAAAACTCAGCCACTGAAAAAAATATTTGATGTTTTGTGATTTGAGTGAGGCAGGGTCTCAAGGAGCCACATGAGTGAGGTGAGTGGTGTTTACTAGGTTAATGCAGATTCAAATTTGGTGAAAGTGCTGAACCTGGGGGCACTAAGGAAAAGGAATAAGGTACACCACTGTCAGCCACTCCCTACCTGGGGTCTAAGGACCATTGAGAGTTTATTTTTAAGGAATACTGTAGCGCGGGCCAGGCCTGATTGCCTGCTGCTGAAAGGGCCTCTGAGGGTGTGTGAGTTGGGTGGAGTGGGTCAATGGGAGTGATTAGGGTGGCACAAGTGGTGTTCACAGGCTAGTGTAGATTCAGATTGGTTGTGGAGGGGAGGGCTAAATACAGGAAAGATGGTGTCCGCCTGTCATCTCTATTGGAGGAGGGCTCAACATAGGGAAATTGGTAATTGTCTCTCTGTCTCTTGCCCTAAAGCCACACAACTCAGATTCTCCCTGTGTCTCTGGTACCTCCTGAGCACTGTCCCTTTTCTGATCCCAGAGTGAGTGCCCGAGAGTACGTTCATCTGTGTGCAGGCCTTCTAATGGAATGCCTGGGTTTCCAGCAGCCTTTTGTCTCATGCAATCAGATGTAATTCTTACTGATTTTAAAGGCCAGATCTTGTGGGAGCTAATTTTTCTGACACTGGTTCCCCCTGCTGGGGAGCCTGGTGTGTGCATGGGACCCCTTGCTCCTTGATGAAGACCTTTGCAGCTGAGATATCTCTCCCAATTCTCAGTTACCACATGTGGGTGTGATGCCAGCCTGTTTCACATCTCTGTACCTCCTACCAGTCTCTATGTGGCTTTTTCTTTATATTTTTAGTTATAGGACTTCTTTTCAGCTAGTCCTCAGATGGTTCTCCAGGTTGGTTCTACTATACTTTAGTTGTAACTTTGCTGTTGTCATTGAAAGAGGCAAACACAGCATTTACCTACTCTGCCATCTTGATTAGCTCTCCAATTGTACACTTTAAATTTGTGAGGTTTATTGTAGCACAATTATACTTCAATACATTGTTCTTTTTAAAAATTAAAACAAAACAAAGACATTTGGAGACAAAAACTGAGACAATTCATTGCAAAAGATTCGTGCTACAAGAAATGGTAAAGGAAGTTCTACAGATAGGAGAAAAATAATACCAGATGGGAAATTTGGACCTGCACAAAGGAGTAACAAAAAAGGTATGTATATTACCCTGGTCAGTTTGTCTCAGCAGTTAGAAAGTCGACCTGCAGACCAAAGGGTCATGGGTTGAATTCCTGGTTAAGAGCATGTACCTGGGTTGTAGGTTTGATCCCTCAGCCCAGTTGGGGTCATACAGGAAGCAACCAATCAATGTGTCTCTCTCACATTGATGTTTCTCCTCACCCCTACCCCCCTCCCTTCCACTCTATCTAAAAATCAATGGGAAAATATCCTCAGGTGAGGATTAACAACAAAAATTGGTAAGTATGTAAACAAATGTATCAAATGTTTTCTCATTTAAAAAATACCCTGAAAAACAATTGTTTAAAGTAAACATAATGACAATATATTGAGAAGTTTATACATATGTAGAAGTAAAACATAACAATTGCATAAAAGATGAAGAGGAAGTAAAAGTGTATTTTAGTAAGGTGTTTACCATATATGTAAAGTAGTATATATTTCAAGGTAGACTTTGATAATGTAAAAAACTATATTTGAAAGCCTAGAGAAATGACTCAAAACAAATAAACTAATGAGATATAGGTAATAAACCTACAAATGCAATACATTTTTTTAGAACTGCTCAATCAAAAGAAGAAAGAAAAAGAGGGGAAAAGGAAACAAAGAATACATGAGACAAATAGAAAATATTACAAGATGTTTTATTTATACTCAATAATATTGATAATTACATTAATTGTAAATGTTCTACACATTCCAATTAAGAAGCAGTGATTGCCAGATCAGATAAGAAGGTAAGATGCAACTTTATGCTATCTACAAGAAACATGCCTTAAATATAATGACATTTAGAGATTAAATATAAAAAAATAGGAAATGATATACTGTACTAATATTAATCAAAATAAAACTAGAGTAGCTAAATAATCTTCAGAAAGTAGACTTCAAAACAAGGAAAATTGCCATAAATAAAGAGAATATTTTATAATAATAAATGGGTGACTTCATCCTGGCCAGTTTTGCTCAGTGGTTAGAGCACTGTCCCATGGACCAAAGAGTTGCGGGTTTGATTCCAGTAAAGGGCATGTACCTTGATTGCAGTTCAGTCCCCGGCCCTGGTTGGAGTCATGTGAGAGGCAACCAACTGATGTGTCTCTCTCTTGCTGATGTTTCTCTCTCTCTCTCTCTCTCTCTCTCTTTCTCTCTCTCTCTCTCTCTCACTTTCACTCTATCTGAAGATAAATGAAAAAAATATCCTCAGGTGAGGATTTAAAAAAATAAAAAATAAGTGGGTGACTTCATCAAGAGGATATATAAATTCTGGTAAATGTCAAATGCCATCTATAAACTAGATCTCATCCCCGTTAACCTATTCTAGGGCAACATTTAAACAAATATTACTTCTTCAATAGCACCAGTTTTTCTTCTTTACTGGAACTTTTGCATTGGCATATAAAGAAGTTGTCATTTATCCTGTTATTTTTTAGATCCATTCTCTTTTGACCCCAAATCCTTCTTCACCTAATGCTCAACTCCCATTTTCTTTATATAAAATTTTATTAAATATTGTTTATACTTGATCTTTCTAAAATTTTCTCCCATTCGCTCTTTTTTCAATTTATATATAGTTGATATACAATATTATATTAGTTGTATTACTTTTAAGTGTACAATATGATTTGACATTTAAATATCTTACAATGTGATCACCCCACTAATTCTAGTAATAATCTATCACCATATAAATTTATCACAATATTATTGACTATATTCCCCTTCACTTTCTTCACCTATCCCTTCATCCCCATTCCCTCTGGGAACCATTCCTTTGGTCTCTGTTTTATGAGTCTGGTTTTATTTTGTTGGTTTGTTTGTTTTTTTTAGATTCCAAATATAAGTAAAACTATATGGAGTTTGTCTTTCTCTGACTTATTTCACTTAGCATAAAAATACGATGGTTATATAACACAAAGTCGGTGGCAATGCCTTAACCGTATTTGTTCTGCCCAAGAGCCTCTTCCAACTTTGTCAAGGGGAGTAGTGACCTTCTCTCCTTTCATACAACACTCTCCCATTCACTCATTTTTTTTTTAATCTTCACCCGAGGACATTTTTCCATTTTTTGTACAGATAGAGTGGGAGGGAGAGAGAAGAGATATATAGAGAGAGAAACATCAATGTGAAAGGGACACATCGAGTGACTGCCACCCGCACAACCCAACCAGGGCTGGGGACAAACTGCAACCGAGGTACATGCCCTTAGCTGGAACCGAACCCGGGTCTCTCTGGATCGCAGGCCAACGCTCTAACCGCTGAGCCAAACCGGCCAGGGTGTCATTTTTTTAAAACCTTCCTGATAGATCAAGAACTTTGTTGTTGGATGAACACAGTCCCTGCTCATAGATTCTCTGTTGTATTTCTCCTTTTCCAATTATGAACCCAATATTGCCTGATTTTAGACTGTCTTCCATTTTGGCAAGATGACCCTGAGGCAATGACACTTCCCACAGACTTTTCTAGATTGTGGCCCAAGTATCAGTAAATAGACTTTAGTTTCCAGTAAAAGCCCTGGAGTACATGGAATTCTTTAACTTGTCATACCTGGCTCTTCTGGAATCTGTCCCAAGAGAGAAGTTAGCAGGGTCCATTCAACAAAGCAAAGAATCCAGGGGCCACACTGCCTAACAGTGATTATTGTGCTCCCAGATGCTCAGGTTTCTCATTCAGACAAAGGTCTGCCATATTTCTCTTCATCTGCATGCTGGCCAGCTGATCCTGCCTGCCCTTGGGTTCGGGAAGGAGGAGCTCAGTCTGGTTTGCAAGCTTCCTTGCTGGGTTTAGAGATGCTAGGTTATTTTTTTTAATTTAATTTTATTCTTTTTTATTTTTAATTCTAGTGTTATTTCCGTTTTACACAGGGAGATGGTGTTTTTTAAAAAAAATATCTTTAACCCTGGTCAGTTTGGCTCAGTGTTTAAAGCGTCTGCCCATGGACCAAAGAATCCCAACTTCGATTCCGGCCAAGGGCATGTACCCCGGTTGTGGTTCGTCTCACATCCGTGTCTCTCTCTCTCTATCTCTCTCTCTCTCTTCTTCTCTCCCTTTCTCCCTCCCCGCTACTCTAGCTGAAGATAAATGCAAAAATATCCTCAGGTGAGGATTAAAAAATGTTCTTAATTAAGAAAAACTATCTTTATTGTTGCAAGTATTACAGATGTCCCCTCTTTTTTCCCTCATTGTTCCCCTCCACCCCGCTCTTGCCCCACCCCCACCCCTGGGCCTTCACCACACTGTTGTCTATGTCCATGGGTTATGCATTATGCTTTTAAGTTCTTTGGTTACTTTCTTCACTCCAATCAGACTTTTGCCTAACAACTCTTCTAAAACTATTTTGTCAGTCACCAGTGATCTTCATCGCATTTAATCCAATAGTCAAGTCTCAGGCCTTATTCACTTGATTTAACAATAGACTTTGAGCCCTGGCCAGTTTGGCTCAGTGGTTAGAGTGTTGGTCTATGGTCCAGAGAGACCTGGTTCCCGCTAAGGGCACATACCTCGGTTGCAGTTTTTCCCTGGCTCTGGTGTCCCTTTCGTGTCAATGTTTCTCTCTCTCTTCCTCTCTCTCCCTCCCACTCTATCTGAACAAAAATAGAAAAATGTCTTTGGGTGAGGATTAAAAAAAACACACAATAGAATTTGATGCAGTAATCACTCCATTTTTCTTTATAAACTTTCATTTCTTGTCTTCCAAGAATCCACAGTCTTTTAGTTTTCTGCCTGTGCCTTCTCAGTTTCATTTCCTTTTCTGATTTATTACTGACTTTATAATATTACACTGCTCTAGAAATCAAACCTTAGCCCTCTTCTCTTTTATATCTACCCTCATTTCCTTGGTGATTTCACTCAGTCTTGCAGCTTTAAATGCCACATATGTTTGCTACTAACTTATAAATTTATATCTCTAACCTAAATTTTTTACTTGTTATAGGGACTTAAATATTTTTAATTACCTATTCGTCATCTCTAACTGTTATTGAAGAAATTCATGAATTGCCTTTCTTCTTTGCTAGTGGGAGTAGGGTATGTGGGGTACCACTGGAGTAAGCATCTCCAGAGGCTCCCGTGGGAGGATGAGATGTAGAAGAAGGCTTTATTTGCATGTAATTACATCCTTCGGTTTCCAAAGTCCCATTTCCCTTAATGTAGTCCTGGAAGATGTGTAACTGGGGATTCAATAGAGTTAGAAGCAAAGCCAGTGTCCAAAATTTCCTTTCCTTGGTGGAATTGCATCTAGTTTAGCATTAGGCTAGTTGCAGTCAATCAATCCATTGTGTAGGGTCCACATGGCCAGGAGCTTGGTGGGTGAATAAAGAAGTATGAGAGCCCTGCAAGCCAGGAGCCAAGAGCACAAGAGTTCAAGAGCAACAAGAGAGAGAACTTCTTTGTTTAAGAGATTAAATATCTCAGACCTTCCTATGCTTTTGGTGGCCATATCTCCTCTGGCCAATGACCTGTTCCCAGGTGTGATTGACAGGTAAGTACCCTCCCTATTTCACATTTTACTGAGTATGCGTCTAAACTGCAGCTTCCTGGCAAAGCTGCCCAAAGGCATGCCTATACCATTCGGCCTTCCCTTTGCTTCCATCCAGTTATTCATAACTAGGGTTAATTACAACACTATCATAACCAGAGGTTTAATGAGAATCTCAAACTTAACATGTAAAAAAACTGAAAAAAAAATTACTCCCTCCCAGTCTTCTTCATGTTAGTAGTGACACCTCTGTTCTTTCTAATGCTTTTCCCTTGCCTAAATTTTGATATCCTCTTTTAAGTCACTCTTTCTGTTAAATATTACAGTTAATCTGGCAGCAAATTTTGTCATTCTATTTCCAAAATATATCTAGAAGCCAACCACATCTTGCCATCTCCACTGCTACCACTTGGTCCAAGCCACAGTTATTTCTCACCTAGATTATTGCAATAGCTTCTAACTGATCACTGAGTTCACCCATGAATCCCACGAAGTTTTAAACATCAGCAGCCAAAATTATTCTTTCAAAATCTAAGTTATTTTATTCTCATTTACTCAAAACTCACCACTAGATCCCAAATCACTTAGAGTAAAGCCATTAAATCACTTTTACTAAAAAATCTCTACTTTGGGCTCTGCTTGTAAGAAAATAAGCAATTAAGAAAAGCCAGATGATATCTGTAAGGTACCAAAAGAAAAAAGCTGTCAGTGAAGAATTATACACAAGGATAAGGAAATATTAAGGATAGAATAAGAGGTGATGTCTGCATTATACCAGCATAAGACATTTCTCAGTTTTCCCCACACATTAACAAAAATTCAGTTGAGGGGGCTGTGACACCATATACAAAATGACCTGAGAAAAGTATCACTCACCTGTGGACAGGAAAATCTGGGCACTGGCTGTGGACCCTCAGTAGCCAGTGAACTGGCTCCTCTTGGTCATGATCTGGGAGCCTCTGGTGAAGACTGATTTTAGACAGTCACTCACAGAGGAGAGAGCCTTTGTCCAGGTTTCCAGAGAACAAGTTCCAACACTCCATTAGGACAAAATAATGAGTTAGAATGCACTGGAGAGGGTGAGGACAGTTTAACTTTACCTACATGACCCCCCCCCCCAGGTGACACAGCTTAGGGCCAAGAAAGAAGAAAGATCTTCCATGGCACTTCATTTGTCCCTCAGACAAAAGGGAGAACATGGGAGTGAGCACCTTACTTCCCCAGCTGTGCCAGCCAAATGGGTTCACTTCTCTCTTGCCCCTGAGTACTATATTGGGAGCTCTATGATTTGGAGAATGGGAACAGAGTGGGGAGTGGCAGACAGAAAACTCTTGGAGGATATTAAAGAGGCATGGATCCTAACTACCTTGTGGATTTCATCAAGAATCCTGCCCACAAGCTGCTGAGAGTGCCTCACTACAGATAACTACAATTGGCCCATGGACACCCACAGTGCTCCACATGCCTCACCTACACACCCACCTTGTAGCCAGCTCCCTGTGTATGCTCCTGACAGTGGCGTGAGTGGGTTGTGGCAGACTGCCAGGAAGCACAAACAAAAAGTTGGCTGAATCTGCAGGCCAGGGAGAGACAACACATTTGAGCTTTAGGGCCATGTGTAGGAAAACAAAAGAAAGGCTGTGAGCACTGGGCCTAGTACATTGCAAGATCAAGAGAAGGCATACAAGTTTAAAAATTCTGCCACAAGAGGAAGCAAGTATAGTCATAGAAGGTCTGAGAAAGCCTCAGAATCTTTAGCAGGCTGATGGAAGGTATCTCTCTTCCAAATGCAGGAGGAGAAAAGACTACAGGAGGAGACTGGGAAGATATTAATGCAGAATTTCAAGGAACATGAAAAATCAAGGTAACATGGCACCACCAAAGAATCATAATAATCTTCTGGTAACTGAACCCAAATAAACAAGGAGATCTATAGTTTACCTGAAAAAGAATTCAAGATAGCTGTTTTAAGAAAACTCAGCGAGCTACAAGAAAACAGAAAGACAATTCAACAGGAAACCAGAAAGACAACCCCCCAACCAAATGAGTTTAACAAAGAGATAGAAATCATAAAAAAGAACCAAGCAGAAATTGTAGAAATAAAGAATTCTTCTCAAACTCTTCCAAAATATTGAAGAGAAGGGAATACTACCAAACTCATTTTATGAGGCCAGCACTACCCTTATATCAAAGTCAGATAATGACAACAAGAAAAGAACACTAAATTCTTATATCCCTGATAAATATAGACACAAGTTTTTAACAACATACTAGCCAAACAAATTCAACAATACATTGAAAGGAATATGCACCATGATCAAGCAAGATTAATTCCAGAGATGCAAAAATTTAAATATATCCAAATGAATAGTGATATATCACATTTATAGAATGAAAGATAAAAATCTTATGATTATCTCAATACATGCAGCAAAAGCATTTCACAACAATACAACATCCTTCCATGATAAAAACACTCAACAAATTGGGTAGAAACCTCAACATAATAAAGGCCATATATGAAAAGCCTACAGTT